GAAAGAAAGAAAAGATGAAAAAAAAATTTAACAAAAATAATAGTGATAATAAAAATTGAAAATTAAAATTAAAAAAAATAATAATAATAAAATAAAAAAAAATTTAAAAAATAGAAACATTGAAAAAAAAAATAAAGAACAACAACAAATAAAAATTGAAAATGAAAGAAAAAGAAGAAAGAAAAAAAGAAAAAAAAAGAAAAAGAAAAGAAAAAAATGATAATAATAATAATAATAATAAATGCAGTCCTAGAGTTCTATTAACTTCTCTTCCAGTAGGTGGAGCTGTGCCCACTGGGCCAAGCTTCTCCTCTCAATAGGTGGGAACCATTCACTGTGCAGCAGCTCTTTCTCCTAGACTGGGCGGGTCTCCAATCCTGAGTGTCTAGGGCCTTGTCTTGTGTTTCCTCAAGCCAGGCCGTGCTCACCTGTGGCGCTCACCACAATACTGGCTACACGCCAGGTCTGCTGCTCCTGGGAGCCCTGTTTTCATGAACACCTGGGCTCACTCTCCCTGTTTGCCTCCCTCAGACCCTAAGTTTGTAGAGCTTGGGGCTGAGATTCCCCAGCGAATTTGCTTGCCCTCCTGTAGCCACGCCCCCGGTAGCTGGTGCAAGAGACCTCAGTTGTCAGCACTGGTGGGAGCGGTAGCCGGGAGTTCCGCGCCGGGAGTCCCGCGCCACTCCTGATTCCCTAGGTCTGGTTATTGCGTTCACAGGAGAGCTGGGAGTGGCCCTTAAGGTTTCCCCGCTGTGTGGAGAGAGATGGCTAGGGGATTACACACCTGTCGCGCTGGTTTCACTGCAGTTATCTCCTCCGCCCGTGACGCCATTTCTCTGCCATGGTGATATCCCATGCAAATGGTGACCGTTTGTTCCCTTTGCCGGATGACCAATGCAACGGGTGGGTCCTGACTGTCTCTCCCAATCCCCGTTTCAGTCCTGTGGCCACTGCCTATGAAGGCTCGGTTGGCTTTTACCTCTGTAAGTTCCTAAGGGCCGGCCAATTATTTCAGCGGGATCGTTAGTGCTGAGTCACACGAAGCAGGCGAACCGGAGCTTAATTGCCTCCGATTCGGGCTCTGTGTGTGTGTTCTGAGGGGCCCAGCCTGTACACCCCAGATCCACGTCAGCTCAGCATTGCCTAGTGATCCTGAGTAAACAACATTTAGACAGTTACTGCTCCCTATGCCCGCGCAGTTGAAGATGTCAGAGACTTGATCTCTCTGCGCCTGCCACCATGTTACATCTCTTCAGTAATATTCATGTTGCCCTTACAGCTTCCTGGTATAAGCAAGTTCTTGGGATTATACAAACTGCTGCTTCTGTTTCCAGTCCAGATTTCTAGAAATGAAACTCTGGGCCGCGCTGACGAGCGTCCGCGCTTGTCTGCGACCATAGCAGAGCCGCCCTGGCGAGCGTCCGCGCTTCTGAATATCTTTTTAAAACTTAACCAGTATCATACACTTACAAGTCAGAGTTTAAACACACAATAAATTACATTGCATGGATGTTTAAAATGAAGTGTGTCATCACATAATATGACATAATTTAATGAACATTGATTATAAGAAATTCAACAATTTCTAAAAAAACCAAAATCGTTGTCTTTATATGATGAAGGACACCTGAAATTCATGAAGATAATAGAGAAGTTATAAATCAGGGAGCAAGGATGTTCATTCTTTATTCTTTCTCTCATTAACATATTTGTGTTTTAATTGTGATGACTATTTTCATATTTTAGCACATATATTTTATTTTTCTATGGGTAAAAGCAAGATGGAAGGGAAGCAATTTTGTTATTTAACTTTCATCTCATTGGAATTCAACCATTTCTCATCAAGCATAGACTTATAACTGCTAAGCTCTGTGTCAAAAAACTAGTATAATTAAATTGCTGTTTTAGCAATGAGTAGGCACATGACACTATGACATGTCCAGCTGAACAACATGGACACAAACAAAATGAATCCAGCTGCAAAGCTCTTCTCTCAAAAAACAGCCTTGCATATCACATATTAAGTATTAATGATTTATTTCTATCACCTGATTGCAAAATTTCCTTGATGGTAGGTTTTACATCTTATTTGCCTTTTATCACCAGTTCTTCCAGCTTGAGGATAGCAGTAAATTAGTTTGTTGAATGCATAAACATCAATAAGATGGTTTGATAATTGGCTTATTATCATCGACAAGATCCAAGCTGTGAGTTTAGATATGATGAGAAAGTCTGGTCTTGAAAGACAAAAATTAAAATGACAGTAGGGATCTATTTTCTGCCACTGGCAAGGGCTTCAGATTATGTTTCTAACCAGCAAGGACTAATACAAAACTGGGCCAGTAATAGGGACAAAAGGAGAAGCTTAATTCTAGAAATGTGGATAAGTCAGATTGATAAGGTAAAATCAAATTTATAATAATACTGAGTGAAGATTTTTCCATAGATTTCCTAAATGATGTCTGATTATATAAGGTGACTCAGTGGCATCGAAATTCAAAAGTATGAATGGGCTAATATATTGCCCATAGATGGGAGTGCGATGAAAATGGATATCTTTGGAATATTTTCTGTATTTATTTGGAAACTGAATTGAGAATGATTGCAATACAGCAAGATTAAATCCCATATCTTAACAATTATCTGCTTTAGGCTTACATTCACATAGGATGACTCCAAATCCAGGAGCTGATGTAAACATGTTGACCTGGAATAATTATTGTACATTGTATACTCTCAAAAGTGTCTTAATATGAATAATATATTGCATGTTGGCCCTATTTACACTTTATTTAATTATATTCACTTATGAGACTTTACTTGTCTTCCTTAAAAAATTCAAAATTTCAAATAAGTTCCATGAAATTTCATATTATTATAGATGATTATGTTAAAGTTTTCTGTTCAAATTGCTATTCCACATGTATGTGAATTTTAAAAACAACATTACCTTTATGATGTAGTTCTGACACATGTGGAATAATACTTATATTTTCTAATGTATATGGTAAGGTTTTAAACAATTCACACAGAATGTTGAGCCTGGTACTTGTTATATTTGTTACATACTACCTTAAGCATTTCAGTTATCATAACACAAATTGACTTAACATATTACAACAGGTTTTATGATAGGATAAAAGTTGTAACTTCAGAGATAATGGCTTGTTTTAGTCATCTTTCTCCCTACTGTGACTAAAAGATCGGACCAGAAAAATTTTAAAGGGGGAAAAGACTATTTGAGGGCTCATGGTTTCAGAGATCTTAGTCCACAGAAGCTGGCTCCATTCCTTGGGGATCAAGGTGAGGCTGAACATTATGGTGGAAGAGTGTGGCAGAGGGAAGTAGCTCACAAGATGATCAGAAAGCAGAGATGGAGAGAGAGAAAGAGAGAGACAGAGAAAGAGAAAGACTTCAGTAGCCAAATACAAATATATATCCCAAAGCCATGTCCCCAATTCCCACCTTCTTCAGCCATACCCTAGTACTTCAGTTACCACTCAGTTAATTCCTATCAGGGTATTAATTCACTGATTGGGTTAAGATTCACAGCCCAATCATTTCTCCTCTGAACTGTGGTGAGCCGCTTCTGCCGTTTCTGCAGATTATGGTCGCCATTACAAGATGACGCTGGCTCTGCTGTGGTCTGTGACAAACAACTCCTTATCTGGGAAAGTTGGCACATGATTTTTCACCACCCTGTGAGAAAGCTCCACGCGGCAGCTTTGCATTGGGGCTTGGGATGCTTTATTAAGGCTGGGAGGGGCATCAGAAAGGGAGAAGAAGAAATATCAAGGGCCTGAATAAACTGTTGAAAGAAGATTCCCGAGTTGCGTCTTCCTTGCGGGCAAGGGGTCGCGACAAGTGGTGCCGAGACCCGGGAACCAGAACTTTCAACAGTCAGGGGTGGTGCACCGGTTAGTCCCAGGTAAGTGGGATCCGCGATCAAAGCGGGGTTAGTCCCAGGTAAGTGGGATCCGTGACCAAAGCGGGGCAGCTCCTCTGTAAAGAAAGAGAGAGCATTACATTTTATTGCAGCTGCACTGTGTACTTTCGCTTCTACTTTCGCTTTTGTTTTCTGTGTTTCTTTTGTTGTGTCATTTCGCTTTTGTTTTTTGTGCTTCTTTTGTTGTTGTGATGACAGGGACGCTCCCCTGTAAAAGGAAGAGAGCGGGGACTTTTGTACTTTCACTTTCTTTATAGCTCTAAAAACATTATGGGCGTTGCTTCTTCAAGCCCAATTTTGTTGGCCCTAGATGGGTTGTTACATTCAAAAGGACTTAAGATAAAGCAGAGTACTTTGCAGATATTTTTAAGAGAAGCTGATATAGCGGCTCCTTGGTTTGCTTTTTCAGGGAGTCTTACGGTTCCCAGCTGGGACAAATTAGGGAAAGATCTAGATTTCGCTCGTGAGAAAGGCACCTTAGAGGGTGGTGTTATACCACTTTGGAAGTTAGTTAGAGGATGTATAACAGATGGTAAATGCCAGGAAGCTGTGAGTGAGGGTCAAGCTATTCTTGAGCAGCTGCATGAGGAAAAATCTGAAGGATCATGTAGTGAAGTGGCAGAGAGTATTAAAAGTAACAGTAGTGAGAAGGCAAAAGAGCCTGAAGATAAAAATAGGAGAAGGCTCTACCCAGACTTGACCGAATTAAAAACGCCTGAGAACACAAGCGACTCAGAGAGTTCTGAGGACCTTGATATATTGTTACAACAACTACATGAGATAAAAATGAAAAAGAAGAAAAAGGAGACACAGGGCACACAGGCCTACTGTAAGAAGGGGAAGGGAGTTAACATCGGTCAACAAAACTCTGAGGAGGAGGAGGTAGAATATCTAGAAGAAGATATGGTGCCGATTGCCCCACCTCCGTATGTGGGGGGAGCCAAAGTTCCGGGAGATCTTTTCATGCACAAGTTTGGAGGACAGTTAATACAGATATGGGACTTGCATACCCTGTATTTCAGGACAATAACAGGGGAAGATATCATGAGCCTTTAGACTTTAAGATAATTAAAACCTTGGCAGAATCTGTCCGCACTTATGGCATAGATGCCGCTTTCACTCTCACTCAGGTGGAGGGACTTACTAGATTTTGCATGACTCCCTCAGATTGGGCTAGTCTAGTCCGCGCTTGTGTTTCCCCAGGGAAATATTAGGAGTCCAAAGTTGGCTGTTTAATGTTTCTGGCAGTACCCAAGACTCGGAGCGAAGTAGGAGGCTTAAAATTTCTGCAAATAATTCACAATTGTTTAATGCTACATTACCCTCCGCAGCAGTCTGTCTCCAATCTCCGTTCCTGTTTCTTTTGGCTAATGTTACATCACAGAGGATGCTTAATTGCTCTAATATTACCTGTTACTTGTCTGAGTGTTGGAATGGATCCTGGCCTATGGCAGTGGTTATGAAAATTCCAACTTTTGTCTCGATCCCGGTTACTGCAGATACAGAGTCTTTTCCTATTGTTGAACTGATTAGAGCCCATAGAGATTTTGGAATTATGGCAGCCATAGTGACAGCTGTGGCGGTATCTGCTGCTGCAGCAGTTATAGCTGGAGTAGCCATGGCCAGCCAGGTACAAACTGCTGCCACTATTAATCAGGTTATTCAACAAACATCCACCATACTTGAATCTCAAAGTAGAATTAATCAACACATTTTATCTGGGATTCTGGCTGCTAATCAAAGGATAGATCTACTTCAAGCTCAAGTTGAGGAATTGTCTGATCTAGTATGTTTGGGTTGTATTGATCAACGTGCACATTTATGTATAACCTCTGTCAGATTTTATGATTCCAGAAATGCCTCCAGCATCATCGGGGAGTATCTATCCGGAACCTGGTCCATGGAAGCAGAAAACTTGATCCAGTCTCAACTAACTCAGATTGCTGTTTTGAACAGTACCCGTGTCGATCCCGTGACTTTGGGTCAGTTCACCGATTGGATATCTTCGGCTTTTTCCTTCTTCAAAGAGTGGGTGGGTGTAGGCATTTTTGGTGCAATGTGTTGCTTCGGTATGTTCCTCTGTTTGTGGTTTCTCTGTCGCCTTAAGGCCCGCAGTGCTCACGATAAGGCTATGATCATACAAGCTCTTGCAGCTTTAGAAAATGGCAACTCGCCTCAAGTCTGGCTTGCGCATCTTAAGCAGTAAACCTTTGTCATGGTCGTTTCACCCCAAGTTATTATAACATTGCACTGGGATCGACATGACTTTCCTTGTTATTCTCTTAGTGTTGGAAAGCCCTTGCACTCTGCCGGTCTTACTGCCATTGCATGCAGATGGGTTTCCACACTAGTGCTTTTCTATCGCCTTGAAGTTTGTGCCTTTCTTTCAGGGTGCTGTCAACTTGTTTGTCATTATAAACAGTCACAGTTCAGCCTCAGCTATCCCCCTTCATCCACCATCGTCACGATACAGGATGCGAGGCAAGGCACTGCACTTGAGTGATCCTTGACGAGGACCTCAAGGAGAGCATGTCCTATTGCATGCGGGTTAGACGCGTTCACGCCCCGCCCCACGAAAAAAGGCGTCGGCTGATATGGCCTCAGATCTGGGGAAGGGCCCTCCTTAGGACTGAGCCATACTATGCAGCCACTTCTGCACAGTGGGATAGGACCTCTACTCTCGCCTGTATTGTTTTAAGAAAACAGAAAAGGGGGAACTGTGGTGAGCCGCTTCTGCCGTTTCTGCAGATTATGGTCGCCATTACAAGATGACGCTGGCTCTGCTGTGGTCTGTGACAAACAACTCCTTATCTGGGAAAGTTGGCACATGATTTTTCACCACCCTGTGAGAAAGCTCCACGCGGCAGCTTTGCATTGGGGCTTGGGATGCTTTATTAAGGCTGGGAGGGGCATCAGAAAGGGAGAAGAAGAAATATCAAGGGCCTGAATAAACTGTTGAAAGAAGATTCCCGAGTTGCGTCTTCCTTGCGGGCAAGGGGTCGCGACACTGAACCTTCCTACATTGTCTCACACGTGACCTTTTGGGGGACACCTCATATCCAAACCACGACAGGGCTAGAGTTGTGACAAATAAAATCTAGGGATGAAGACAACATTTAAGAACTTTAATATGTGGAGATTGTAGAGGACAATCTGAATAAGTAAAATAAATAAGTAAATAAATAAAGGAAATCTTGAACTTAATACAGAGTGACAAGTGATTAATCTGATAGAAGTTCATAATAAATGAACATGAATAAAAAGCAATAGGAATTAAAATACCCGAATATGGGGTTGTTCCTTTCCAAGCTGTGAAGATAAATTCTATCGTAGTTTGAATCATGTTTTTCTTTCTTTTTTTTTCTTCTGCTAATTACATAGGTATCTTGAGTAGGTTACTTAGGCTTCATGTTTTTTAGCTATCTATGATGAGGAGACTAATAGATTTTGATTTTTTTAAGAGAGAATTTTTTAATATTTATTTTTTAGTTTTTGGTGGACACAACATTTTTATTTTATTTTTATTTTATTTTTTATGTGGTGCTGAGGATCGAACCCAGCACCCCACACATGCCAGGCGAGCACACTACAGCTTGAGCCACATCCACAGCCCAAGATTTTGCTTTTTAAGGTGTTTTTGAGAATTAAAAAATCTATATATAAATATATGCATATGTACATACACATGCATGTTTTATATTACTAAGGATATTTTTACCATGCAGTAATTGTTAATTAAATGTCAATTATTTTAATATCACAAATATTAACAATTTATCTAGGGTATCACTAAGACATTGATAGGCAGGCTCATGAAGAACTGACATTTTAAACTGAATTGAAGATATACCTTTGACTCAATTAAAACTATGTGAGAAAGAAGATATTTATGTTGAAAAGGTAGAATATTCAGTTTGGATGGTATTAAATGTAAGGTGCTTATAGATAAAGGCTTTTAGAGTGATAGGAGATATCATATGGAGTGGTCAGTGAAGGTAGGATGTGCAAAGTTTCAATAGAAAGTGAGCTCATGGATGAAAGACACCAGGCCAACTAATAAGTGGCAAATTTTGAATGCAGAAGTTAATTTAATAAGCATAGGTGACCTAATGTATTTGTAGCCTAATGACCAATAGAATAATGGGAAAGATTTAGAGAATATTTTGTGCTCCTCTAAAGAGGCTAATAAGTTTTACAGAAGCTCTCAAACTAACTTTGTGTGGGGACAATTGATTTAAACAGTTGATCTCTTAACCCAGACAAAATGAAAGGTTTGATGTTGTGAAATATAATATTTTAAAACTTTTTCATGGATTAGCCATTTTTCTTAAATGATGATGTTATCAATTCTTTCAAAATAATTCATTTTTCAAATGTGGATTACTATTTTTCAAATTGAAAAATATGTATATAAAGAATAATGAAGAAAACAGAAGATAATACATGTTGAATAAGAATATTGCACTTTATGTAGCATTGTAGCTTTCTCTGACCTACTAAATACACAGTGTGTGTGTGTGCATATATATACATAATTATGAAAATTTTTATTTATCCCCATCTTAAAAAGTTTAAATTTATTTATTTTTCTTATGGTAGTACATTTTATTTCAAATTTAATAAATATTTGTGCTTTAAATTTCAGATATTAATATTGATAATTTTATGTAAAAATATAATTTTATGCTATGAAAAAATGGAACTATTATACATCATTTTTAGACTTGAGGTACTGAAAATTTATGTTCAATTAACTGTCATATACATATAGTGAATATATTTAGTCATATATTAGCTTTCTCTATTATTACTTTTGCTTTCTTATTGCTTTCCTTACTATCTCATGTTTTACCATCAAAAAAAAAGTATTTATGCACAAGTTATTTGCCAAAATATTTTGAAATAGATCTGTGATGTTGGGAATAGATGTGAGGAAATTATGATACTTCTTTCATTATGAACTAAAGCAAAAAAATGTTTACAAATCCTCTATGCATTTTTAAATTGCTTATAATTTCCTGTTTTTAATTGCTTTCTCCCCAAGTTATCAGGCCCCCTTGTGATCACTGTAATTCAGAAACTGGTCATTCTGCAGATATTTGCTATAAGCTCTCTTTAAAGAGTATCTTCCTATTTTTTGTATCTCCTTCCTAATTGTCCATTTTTACCTCAGTACATCTTTATTTAGACTTTGCTTTAAGTCCTTAGTAGTAAAATGTACATATTAATCTGCCATCACATTACAATTGTTAAGTCCAACAAACTTAATCCATACTTACGTTCTCTGCATTTTCAGCAATTGCTTCATAACAAATTATTGTAAACCTTAATGCTTAAACAAACATTTGTTTTGTTACATTTTCCATGGATTAGGACTCTGCATGACTTAGTTGAGGTTTTTGACTCTATGTCTCACAAAAGAATGTAATCAAGGCATAAGCTGAGCCTGAGAGCTCTTCCACTGTCAGCAGTTCCCTTAAGTTCCTTATGTGCTTATTGATTCTATTGGATTGACTATGAGGGAAATGAGGATGAATGTTATCCTTGAAAAAATAATTATTGTATGCCAGATACTGTTAAGGTATATAACATTAAATATATTGTTTGGATCGATTTTATTAGGAATCATATCTTACTATTTTTTAACATTATAGGTAAATATAGCAAAAGACATGGAATAAAAATTGAAAAAAAAACAGACAATCCAAAGCAAAGAAAAAAAATGAACAAATATCATCGCCTGAAAACAATCACTGCACACATTTGCTATATATCCAAATATTTTGTTATAGAACATGTTTAATTGTTTCCTTTCTATCATATTGATCTGTTCCTCGTCTCTTTGCTTTTTTGCATAGTCAATTCTCATTATTCACCGTACTTATGTTCTATCAAGTTACTGTAAACAATAATAAATGAACACCTAAATCATTGCTGTTAGGAAAATACTGGGTTAATTCTTGGGAGCCTTTGTTCAGAATGTTTTCATCAATTAATAATGATATTTTTAATTTATTCATTCATTTATTGATATATTTAATTTATGTATTCTAATGAGTCATATATGACAGCAGAAATCTATTTGATTCATTATACACAAATGGAGCACAATTTTTAACTTCTCTGATTGTACCCGAAGTAGGGTCACACCATTTGTGCAATCATACATGGTCCTAGGGTAATGATGCCTATCTCATTTCACCATCTTCTCTACCTCCATGCCTCCTCCCCCATTCTCCCTCCCCTTTGCCCCATCCCAAGTTCTCCACTCATCCTATGTCTCCCCCCCATTATGGATTAACATCTACTTATCAGAGTAAACACTGGGCCTTTGATAATCATGATCCTATACATGCTTGTGTTTAAATATATAGTTGATTCATTGTCATTGAATTCATGGCCAACAGCACTATATATCTCTTGCTTGAACTAAGTTTAGTTAACACACATATTTTCTCCAATACACATGACAACCTTCTTGAGCTCAGAAACATTAGTGAGCACTTCAGCATTATGTGTGTAGGCCCTGTTAAACAGCAAAACCACCAACCAAAAGCATAGAAACAGAAGACAATTGGTACTAAATAGTTTGTAGAAGTGATACTTGCTTACAGTATAAGAGATGAAACAGGAAGACAGAATTTGCCTTATTCTGCTGCAGCTGAGTATCTGTGCTTTGGGGACCTCCATTTTCTTGGTAGCTCTGAGAATGTCCAAAAATAAACTCAAAAGCACTATATTACCCATTTGGGAATCAGAAATACAATTTAAATATTAAGCAAGTTCACAAATATAGAACTCATAAATAATGATCGCTCTATTAAGATTTTTGTCATTCTCTTTCAATGAAGTCAGTTATGTTCCATTATTGAATAGTAAAGTACAACTTGTTTTTACTACTTTATCCATTTACATTGTTTTTCAATTTTTCTACTGTGTGTCTTAGAGAAAACCATTCTTTTCTCCTCCACGGTTTTCTACCTTCAGCCATTATTTGCAGTAATAACAGCAATGAGAAGAGATCTTCCAATTCTTTCTTCTTCTTTATGCCTTTCTAAGTAAAAGAAAAATGATTTCTAAGAGGTGGGGCTGAGAAGCAATTGGACAGGCAATGTTAATCAGGAGTATCTTGTTTTTATGCAGTGCTTATATTCTCATACAATTAGAAAATAAAGTTTCCTGGTTTCACTGTGTGAGTGGGTTAACATGTTGAGCTGAAAACTGTTCCCACAAATTCATGACCACTGGAACTAGTGAATACGACCTTCTTTGAAAATAAGGTATTTGTAGATTTAAACAAGTTAAGATGAGGTCATACTGGATAAGGATTGGCTCCATATCCCACGTCAGCTATCTTTATAAGGAAAAGGTATTTGGAGTATCATAGATATATATATAGAATAGCCATATGAAGAATTAAGGCAGAAACCAGCTACAATACCCGTCCCCCCACCCTCCCAAAAAAGTCAAGGATTGCTGACAATCACCAGAACCTAGGAAAAGGCAAAAAAAAAAAAAGTTTCTTCCTAGAGCAGTCAAAGAAAGTATGTACTATTTTAACACCTTGATTTAAAACTGTTAGCATCATGTGTTCTGAGAGAATAAACTGTTATTGTTCGAAGTCTTCCAGCTTGTGATAATATGGTAGCCTTAGGGAACTAACAGTTAATTTAATTCTGGAGTGAAACATTAGGGAACTGATTTAAATATAGTCTTGTTCCAGGCTCCCTAAGTAGTTCAGTCAGGGCTGGGTACTTATTTCTCTTTCTTCTTTTCAGATATATACTTGAGTAAGAGGGGGGAAGAAGAAGGAGCAGGTGTAAAATTTGTTGTCTGAATAAATTATTATTAACATATTGTTTACTCATTAGGAAAACTGAATTTATGAACATAAATACACCAGCAATTATAAATAAAC